TAAATTTATCTTCAGATACTCTACAAATTATTTCATTGGCTATTGAGCACCTAAAGATAAATTTAAGCCTTAAGTACAAGGTCTAACTATGAATATGGGCATATATAATTGATCGTCTAATGATGTGTTAGGAATAATTATAGAATATAAAATATTTCGAATAATTATAGAATATAAAATATTTCAAGCAAAACTTCTCGTATTTTGTTTCAAATGTAGAAAAAAAAAACAAAAAAAATATTTATATTAGTGATAATAATATGTAAAAATGTCTTAATAAATAATAGCGTATGCAATGTCTTATATACGTTTTACTTGGTTTATTATCAATGAACGATAACGAAGCATTATGATAATGAAAAAAAGATGAGTAAGGTATAGATAGTGCGTTATATGGTATTTTTGTTGCACATATACAGAGAGTACTTTACAAGTTTCTTTTCGTAACAAGCCGAATATTTTGCATATGTTAAATTTTTTTTCTACTTCGTGACTTCGTTATATAAGACATGTACGAATAAAAATCACACAGTTATACAAAACGCAAGCGTTAAAGCACTTACATTACTTAAATTTCATCATAACTGTAATGTAATGTTGAATTACAATTCTTTTATAATTATATTCTCCTAAATTATACCTTTCTTCTATTTTACTAAACTATTCTATTTTATTAAACCTTCCGACTTTTCACAATAATAATTTTTATTAATATCTTTGAATTGACTGATGATATGTAAAAATAAGTAAAAATCTGATATATTCAAATGACCATCTTTTTAACCTTCAGGCTGCCGCTTGGGCTGCCAGTATTTTTTCATTAAAATAGTAGTTTTTTCTTGTTGAAAAGTTTTCTATATATAAATAAATAATATATTAATGGTGCATAATATCGAGATATGTGCAGAGCTACAAAACTGGCTTTCCCGGCAGGAAACGTATAATCAAATAAAAAAATTTTATTTTTTCAAAAATTGAATATTTAAGAGTTTTCGGTATCGCTGATTCCAATTCTGAGCATAGATTTATGAAATCTCGAGCCTTAAATTGTAATATTGATGAACATAAATGAATATAAACGTATAGATTAGAGCAGAGAACTTTCCTTTAGCATTATCCAGAGCTAACGACATAAACATAAAAAGTTTGTAGCTCCTTCTTTATTTTTCTTTTTTGTTTGAGTCTTATACTTATTGTTTATATTTTTTTTACTTTTTTTCTCTTTTATAGTTTTTTTATTTTTTTATATTTTCATTTTGTATATTTTTTTGTATATATTTCAATATTTATATTTTTTTATATATTTTGGACAACATACACATGTATATGTTTAATACAATTAGTATTTAAGATCACTAAAAATGATGATATTTTAATCCATACTCAAGAGTTACACAAAAGTGACAGTTTAAAGGTTAAGTATTAAAATAAGTAAACATGATAAGTTTATATTATGAGTTTTGAATATTTTTTATGTATACATTTTTTATAAACTTCTAAAGTTTATAAAAGATTTTATAAATTTAAAAGGTTCATGAGTTCACATTTACAATATCTTAAAATTCTTTAGTAAAACGTCAAAAATTTGGGATGCCTCAGCAGGGCCCACCCAAAATTATAAATATCTGCATTTGGATAAAATATTAAAACTATCCAAGTAGCATACAGCACTTACAAAGCGTTAACAAAGCATATATAATCGATTTTTGCTTTGCAAAGCATATATAATCGATTTTTGCTATGCTACTTGGATATAATGTATATCTTAATAAAATAGTATATGGAATATGATAAAATTCAAAAGCTGCATCTTTATCGAATAAAAACAAGATGAGATTATGTTTACTTTTCGAAGTTAAATTCATATAGAAGTTTATGCATTTATTACATAAATTATTTATTACATAATAAATATCTTTCCAGAATGGCCGTTAACTTATTATTTTTTTGTGATCATTAAAATCGTAATTTTTTTCAACTATTATAATCTCGTTTTTGAAAAAAGTCTATGATAAGATTTGCAGTTAGTTAAAGAAGCGTCTGCGAGCCTTATCTGTCACTAAGTTGTATGTGAAAGGTTACATTTTCAACTTTTTTTTCTCTCTTATTTCATCGTTAATCTACCATTGAATTTTGCACATGTCAATTTCGACTTTAACTTCATTATGTAAAAAAATTAGAAATTTCTATAGTAACTCGATTTATTAAAAAATCATCTTAAAATGAAATTGAAAATGTTTATTAAAACAATAAGAAGATAAAAAGTATATTGAGATTAGTGAGTATATTGAGAAAAGTTTGAAGCTTAACATTCCAAAATATTTTTTGCAAAAATTTAATGGCTCTTGGATCTTGATTACGAGTCTTTCTTTTACATTTGTATATCAAGGAGAGGGGAAAAACAGATTAATATTCTGCATAAGAGAATGTTTTATAATATAATAAATATAATGATTTTTTAAATTTGCTGAAATTTAATATATATTTATATTTAATATATATTTATTGTTGAGTTTAGCAATGTAATATTTTATATGTAAATATAACTAATACATAACGAACTGACTATATGATAAAATTAATTTTTTTATCGATAAATATTAT